CAATCTTGGAATATACATTCAATGGTTTTCTCAAACACAGTGGCCAAACAGATTAATTGGAAAGGAGTAAAGGGAAAAGAAATATTTTAAAGAAATGCTGACAAGAACTCTGTTGATAAGTATTTTAGTATACGTATTATATGTGGAGGTGACTAGTAGATAAACTAGCAGGGCAAAAATCTAAATAATCATTCATTAGTTGTAATCGCGGTAAAATGTTCACTTAATTGGGATTTTGATTTTAGGTCAAATCTTCCAGCCCTAGTCTAGTCCAGCCCCCTTTAAAATTACTAATCTCTGTGGATTTTATGTAATTTGTGATTGCCATTATCAGTTGAGTAATCACACATTCTTTTATCCTTTGCAGAAATGAACACATCGGCCATCCCCCACTCTTCCACTACTGATGATTTGTTGGGTGTCATGTGAGGGTTATGACATTCCCACTTCTCCACTTGCCTCATCAATGTTTCCCGTAAAGCCACCAAACAATGTGTATGAACATTTTACAGTTTTTTATGGGTTTCACATGACTAGTTGGAGTTGGATATTGTATTTTGGCTATAAAATCTTTGTTATTTATACCATGGTCATGGAAAATGGTTAAAATCTAAATGTCCATGCTTTTTAAATTCAAAAGAAAAAAGTAATCGAGTTTAAAATGCAAGGAAAATGAAAACGAAAGTAAAACAAGAAATCTTAGTGTACCTTAGTGATATACCAGTCACTATTTGTTAAACATTATATAGACCAGCTCTTGCCATAAGTTCTGTGGTTGAAACTATCCCAGTAACCCTTTGGCTTCTCAGAGTTATCTAGTAGTAGGATCCATAGCACTTGGTGAGTCATGCACAACATCTGATGGTAAAAATTTTAACTATCCCTTTAACAAAAAAAATCATATTTTTGTATATGTTTTGTGGGTATAGATCAAGGTTATGAAAGAGGCCAGAGGTGGTGTGAATCCAGGCCAGAACTAATAAATGGAGCTGGCCCAGTGCCAGTCCAGATGTGAAAACCGGATCCTCAACAGTATCTTAGAGACTCTGGGCCAGATCCAGTATGGAACTGGTCCAGATCTGGCCCACATTTTTCCATTCAAAATGGAGGAAGGGTTTCTATATTTGTATGACAGGATTAAAATTTTAGGTCATTCTACTCTGGTCCTTAGTAACAAATATACCTAAATGTAGAAGTTAATTTTATATTGGAATATTACAAAGAACTGGTTTAGAGCTCTCTTTAGTGGCCATAAGATCACACTAATGTACATTCAAATACAAACCAGAAGCCTTAGAATACCTCTTGATTACATCAATTGCAACAGAAATTTGTTTTTTCATGAATAATGTGGTGTCATCTGCCAGCTGAGTTATAATTAATTCTCTGAAATGGGGCAACACTGCCTAATGCAGCTAATTATGGCACATATGACAGCTAGATTAAATCTAGGGGATGTACCACCCATAACTTTAACAGAACTGTTGCTACTCTTATATTAATTAATATTTAATATCTGTACAGAAAAAATCACCAAAGTGAAATTTCTTTAAAGACTAAGATGAACTGATGCTCCACTGTATTGAAAGCTTTATAGAAGTCTAAAAATGAAACAAACCCATTATCATCAATAAAATCTGCGTAATCCAGGACATCT